CTCTCTCTCTCTCTCTCTCTCTCTCCCTCTCTTTTCCCCTCTCTCTCTCTCCCTCTCTTTCCCCCCCCCCAGCAGCAGCAGCCGGGACGCTTGTTCAAAGCCGAGGCGCATGACGACGAGAGGCGGACTGACTTTCTGCGCTCCTGCAGTGAGTGTTGCGCGGTGTCTGAAGTCACTTCTTGGCCCCTCACACTCCCTCCTCCTCCTCCTCCTCCTCCTCCTCCTCCTCCTCTTCTTCTTCTTCTTTATTTCTTGTTCGTCTTCTCCCCCTCTCTCCAGGAGGATGTCCCACCTCTCCTCCACCTCCACGTCCCTCCCCCGCAGATATCTCAGTCTCACATATAGTGGGGGGGGGGGATTAAAACATTAGTAGAGAATGTAAAATTATAATTTTAATCTCATTTACAGTTCAGCAAATCTGACTTCCACAGAAATACTGACTCAATGTTTCTGAGGAGTTTCACTTTGCTCTCATATGTTGTCCTTATTGTATTCCTGTAATATAGATTTGTGTGTAGTTATAGTCCAAAACTATAAAATAATACATTTACGTTAATATATAGCAGCAAATGCTCACATTACAGATGCTGAAACAAGCAAACGTTTGATCATAAAACGATTGATAATAATGAAAATAATCATTTATTGACTAATAGTTTCAACAATCGTTTGTGTCCATCGACCACCAGAACAAACTTAAGATCGTAAAGTAGTTTTGTTTAATCATCACATACATGAAGTTTTACTCACTTTACTGTTAATATAGATTTACAATCATCTCGTGTGTCTGAGGTACTAACACTCATTTATGCTCAACATGGTGTGTTTATGGTGACTTTAACTTTATTTTGCTTTGTTTTTTAGATATGTATAATATCATTATCCTGTTACGTACATATTGAACTGCCTAGTGTGTTTAAAGTGATGACATAGTGCTTACTGTGTCATATATCGGATATGCTGGTATATATACTGGTATGAACCATATATGAAACAGTTTTACATTAACTTTAACAAACTTAAACATGTTTTATCATCTTATTGTTTCATTATAATGTTCATATAATGTTATTAAAACAACACAATACAATTATGTGCTGCTCTAGGTGTAATATATTGTCTTTAATGATACTATATGGATATTTTGTAGGAACTTTATCGTAGTTTTAGTTTTTGTGCTCAACTTTGACTTTATTCTACTTTGTATAATATTTGACACTTTAATCACGTAACCTGTTTTAACAGTGAGTTTATAGTAAATTAAACAACCTTTAGTAGTGCTTTTATCCTCTTTACATCCCTATCGTCCCCCTGGTGGCAGCTTATGGTTACTTTATCTTACTTTAATCTTTATGTGTTTTCATGACACAATACACATTTAGCTGTGATCTTGTGGAGTGTACTTATGATAATCAACCTATAGAGACGCTTCCAGTGAAGACAGTAAACAGGATCTCTGATGGACCTGTTTTTTCTGCAGGGTGTTTATTAACTGCAGAGCATTATGGGATGTCTGCAGCTCTCTGTCTGAGAGTGTAACGTTTAATGAGTGCAGGACTGAGATTCCTCAGTGTCACATGGCAGAAACCTGATCTCCACTCAGCCCCTTTGTCCTGGGCCACAAACAGGGATCACAGTCAGTTCTGTCTTTCAACAAACCTTCTTTCTTCCTGCTGCTGCCGTTTGAAACCCTCCAACCACCTAAAACCAGGACCCAGATGTGGGTCAACCCTTCACCTCCAGTCTGGGATCCTGACGTTGAGGTCCAACTTAATAAGGAGGGCTGAGGAAAGGTGGCGACACCCTCATGAACATGCTGGCGTCTTTAAATGTCTGGTTAAGTATTCAGTTTACAAAGATATAAAGCAGAGAAAATACTCACATTAAGACGCTGAAACAAGCAAATGTTGAAAACAATGAATCATTTAAGTGACTAATAGTTACAACAATGGTTTCTCTTCATCGCCCACCAGAAAGAAAAACTTTATTTTTTTTCATAAATGCAAAGCTGCAAATCCTCTCAAGACCCTTTGAGGTCCCGGGTTGCCAGTTTGGAAACACAATACAAGTAAAGCCAAGTCATATTTAATGTTACATAATACAAAAACAGTGATTTGCCTCAAAGATCTTTACAATACGTACGGCCTCCATCTTTATCTCCTCTATTCATATCAGGAAGAAACACGTTAACAGCAAAATAAAAGCAACAGAAGATTCAAACTGGCATTAACTTTTATAAAGCTGCTGCACGTCAAAAGCTCCGTTTCATCATTTCTACTGATCTCAGTTTCCAGCAGCAGCATCAGCGGCCTGGTCTCCACACAGGGACCAATAGACGCCCAACGTACCTCCGAGTCAGACCCGCTCTGAATACCAACCTGAGCAGCATCAGAGGACGCGCTGCACACTAATTCAACACACACACTCACACACACACTCTCACACTGTCTTGTCTCTCGCTGTGGTTTGGAGTATCAAACATCTGTTTTCCTTCGTGAAGACACCTGATGATGTGTGGAGTGCAGAAATAATGCTTGTTTGGGGTTTAAAGAGCAAATATTGACCAAAACAGGACACGAATAAAGCTACAGAATTATTAAACTGTTATAAAAATAAATGTTTTCAGTTAAAACTTCAATCAGCTGGTTTAACTTCGGGCTTTTAATCCTAAACGTGAATTAATAAAGATACCAATCAGTTGAAGAAATGGACTAAAATATATAAGAAATGAGCTTAACTCTACATGTTAATGGGAGTTTAGATATCACACAGCACACTACACCTTCTGTCATAATCATAATCAGATTCTGATTATAACAGAAACATGAATACCAACATGAATCTCCATCACCGGGTTAAACTGATCACCGAGTCATTTAAAGCAACTTGAAGCACTGAACACTGTATCAGGGTTTTTATGGTTATTGATTCACAAATTATTGAACATGTTCACTTCAAAAAAGTTATAGTTTAATGTAGAAAAAAAGGCATCAACCCCCACCCACCATACAGTCCTTGGGTCTTCAGTGACACTAATTAATAATAATAATAATAATAATAATGCAAATTAAATACAGGTAACTGGCAGGACAAAATAGTATTATTGTAAAAATTCCAAAATGATATGTAGGAGCTACTATTATTATTAGTTATTATTAACTGTTACTGCTGCTGTTACCATTATCATGCTGTTAGTAGTATCAGTAGTATTTATTAGTAGTAATATATATTACTTAACAAAGATGCAAAAAGCCATCACGGGGAAAACAAACGAGTGGTAAAAAAAGGTGATAAAAATAAATTCATGTATAAATGTATAATAACGTGTTGAAGAGAAGCTGCAGGTTGCAGAAATCCTTCAATTCATTTCTACAATGTCAGCAGATCTGTCCACGTCAACACTGCCTCCTGCTGTTTAGATGCCACAACTACATGTACAACATGTACAACTACATGTACAACTACATGTAAAACGTATTACTGTCGTGAACTGCTGAGGCTGCAGAGATTGGATGCCGTTCATGATGTTGGGGGATCAGGTCTGGCTCTCAGTCGGCGGTCCAGCTCATCCTAAAGGTGTTGGATGAAGTTCAGTTCAGGACTGAACCTTTCATTAATATTTATTTACCTTTATTTAACCACATAAATCAATTGAGTAGCCTTCTAAGTAGCCTGTCATATATATATATATATATATATATATATATATATATACACACACACACACACACACACACATCTACAGTAAGAGGACACGTCATTCGTCCTTCTGCTCGGCTGCTTTGGGTAAAACGTCTTCGCTCTTGAACCACAGAGCTTCACTGGTACGACTGGCGATGATCGCCCGCTCGATGAAAGGTCCTGAGGAGGAGGAGGAGGAAGAGGAGAGGAAGAGTTGTGTAAATATTAAGAGTTTTAATGTGGGGGGGGGGGGGTGTGAAGTCAAAAGGAAACTTTTAAAAACAGATAACGATACGTTTAAAAACACATAAATCAGACTGAAGTGAAAACAAAATAAAACAAAACACTGACATTAATAATTCTCTGGTGAAAAGAGAGAAAAGCAACATTTACTCACATCTACAGAATAAATAAATAAGTTTCTCTTTGTTTCCAGAATTTAGCCGATCACGGTCCAGTATGCAAACACATCCTCACTACCAACTCAAAATACTGAAGCTTGGATGATGCTCTATTTCGACTCTCTAGCGTCAGCTTTGTACGCTCGGGGAAGGCGTGACGTAAATAATGTCTTTTCTAAATAAACTTCCATGTTCACAGGAAACGTCCAGTTTAAGCTCCGACGTTTAAACTTCCAACGTAGGTTTAGCGCCACAGAACCTCTTGGTTTGGTGTAGAAAAAGATCGTGGTTTGTTTCAAAGTAAGTTTGTTTCAAAAGATAAGTTCATTCAGAGAGAACCCTTCATGACGCTGGAGCTGACCGACTGGACAATATCGAACATTATAATCCTGCTAAACCCGTACACACCCGTTCTACAGAAGCTTGACTGCAATATATAGAACAATACATTTAACACACATCATGCTGCGCATCAGTCTGCATGAGATGTTAAACAGCTGCCTTCAATCACTCACCCACTCATCATGCGTCTCTTTTATGAGAAGCTTATGAATAGATATTTCAGCCTGTTGTCTCTGATTTCCTGCATTCGGGTCTTTCTTCATCAGCACACGGTTGTGCTTCTTGTCATGAATAATTCCCATGAGCCCCTTGAGCTTCTTCCTCTTCCCCCTCGTCATCACCCACACGTTGCTTTTCTCCGTTTTAAGCATTTCTCTGTGAAGTTTCCTCTCGTTTCTGCCCACGCTGCAGTCATCAGCTTCTGCCCAAATGACTCTTTAAAACACATTAAAGGACGTAAAGACGGAGCCTCGGCTATTCAAACGGCAAGTATTCACATCCTGATCCTTGTCTACAGGGTGCGGAGGAAATTACATTCTGCCCAGAGTCCCTGTGCGCTTCTCGTCGGAGGTTTGAACTGCTGCATAATGTTTGCTGGCACAAACTCAAAGAGGACTCGGGGTTCAGAAAAGCCCAGGTGGCTCGGCCCGGTACGAGTTACCGAGCGAGACATTTCAAGTTCTCTGCGGCCGGGCCGGGTTCAGCAGAGGGCCGACGTCTACAGGGTGAGCGGAGAGGAGTCCCACCGGGATCGACCAGCACAGAAGTGCACAAACTCAGGGCGACTGAGAGCACTTTCAACACGAGCTGAGACGAGCAGTCACAGGCCTGCTGCTGTGTCTGTTGATCTGAAGTGACGACGCTCTACTTTATTTTGGTCCCGTTTGATTTGTTTGTTTGGTAACGGTCTAAAGGTTCTTCATCAGAGCATTCATGGTACAAAAAATACTGATTCAAACTGTATTTCATGCCTGAATACACGGAGACATCTTCCTCAGGGTGCACGCATTTCATGTTCCTGTTTCCTGTTATGTGGAATACTAACTTTTACTTATTTAATCATGATTTATTTAACTTTAAACTACTTAAAACTACTTAAAACAAGTGACTCTTGTTTGGTAACAGAACCGCGATTAGATTATTGCTATGGACTTGTTTGTTGCGGTTGTTTATGGAGCATGATTTCACATTAAAAAGAACCAAATGTCACGTTTACTCCGCACTGGTTTGGTCTAAATCTGGGAGCCGTTTGGCAAAATATTTGGTGATGTAAACATGTTTTACAAACATGACTGAAGTCCACCTGAACCAGGTTTTATATTCATACAAACTGCAGTGCAACACTGTGCGTGTGTGGTGATAATGAGATGTGTGCTCCTATAGGAAGGACGTTTGAGTAAGAACCTCATGATTCAGCGAGAGACAACGCGGTCCTCCAGAGAGACATCCGGGAGAAGCTGGAGAGTAAAGAGTTGTTGGTACGAGACGTTCATGGTCACAAAGGGCCGCCGGTTTTCACCGCGTCCTCAATCAGCATTTGTGAAAGCGCTGCAGTTTACTTCAGCGCCGTTAATGACATTTTATTTAGCCGGCTCGGAATCAATTACAGTGTAAATGATTTGAGCCTCGGCCTCTAATGGGGGTCCATTAGCTGAGGATTACAGCCGGCGTCCTGTTATCGAACGCAAAGGGAAGCGAATGTACAGAAGATCACAAACCGATGAACTCGTACTGAACAAACCGTCACAGAGAGGAGACATTCCTTCAGTGTGTAAAGCACCAAAACTATGTTCTCTCTCGAGTTCAAATCATGGATACGTTATATTGTTGCTGACCATCTTTCGATGCTGTAGAGCTATGCAAGAGACAAAGAAGGCCTGGCTGCCATGTTGTCTCCATCCGTCTCACTACATCGCTGTGATCTGAACCAAAGCGTTTCTCTCTCCACACAAACCAAATCAATCAACAATGTGCTGCTAAATACTGAAGACGTGACAGGTCTTCAGTTGATCAGCTGCTGCTGACAGACGGAGAGCAGCCATGAGCAGGAGGAGTTGAGGTGTGTTGGTGGTTTTGGTGAACGTACCCATGTTAGCTGGTCGGTGGGAGCAGACGTCCAGCAGGATCGACTGCAGGTTGGCAAAGATCTGTTCTTTGGGCATGTCCAGCTGTGCAGAGAGGAGGATGAAGGATTACTACTGCAAATAGACACATGGATTTACAGGAGAACATGAGTTTATCTTCCTGTAATCAGCTGTTTGAAGTTTTACTACATAATAAATACAACTACAGTCAAAATGTGCTGCTTCATATGTCACTCCCAGAGCGTCACTCCGCAGCAGCGTTGAGACGTACCATCGCTATCTGCGTCCTCACGTAGCAGTCGCTCTCCACCATGACCTCGTGACCCGTTTGAAACAACTCCAACATCTTGAGAACGTGGATGCCGACCGAGCCTGCGAGTCGACAGAGAGAGAGAAGCATGAGCGCATTTACACTTTTAGTGGTTTGAAAGCAGGTTTTGAACCCTAAAACGTCTTCACACGTCCTGCAGGTTCAGCTTCAGTCCGATCCCCTTTGACCTCCGGGCTTACCTCTCTTTCCCTTTGGGAACTTCTTCCTCAGTTTGTTCTTCAGCGAGACCAGCTTGGGCAGAATATCTGGCACCGCCACGTAGAAGTCCGCTGAAATCTCGTCATCTAAGATCTGCAAATGAATCAGACGAGATTAAAAGACTCCTGCAGGGAACTGGAACAGCTGTGCGTGTGTGTGTGTGTGTGTGTGTGTGTGTGTATGAGAGAGAGAGTGCGCGCTTCCAGTTTGATTATCTGACAAAATTTCAGCTGATGTTCATGTTTTAGCAGCCAATTAATAAATGAACATGGCAAACAGCAACATCCGGCTTCTCTGTAAATATCTCATCTGCAAACACTCCTTCTCTCATAAAAACAGTGATCGTCAGACCTTCATCATCAGAGCGGATAACTTGTGGAGCTGCCTTTATTTATGCGATACGAGGTTTGAAAGAGAACTAAATATTATCAGCTTGTATACTGTATATAACACCCTCTGCCACCTCTCATCTCTGTGAGGATAAGCACCCACATCTAAACATCTTTAAGTTACGTATTTGTATTTATATTTAAACTGTTTAAAATGTCTTCTATATTGTCTTAACTTCTGTTCTTTTCTTTCTTGTGTGTATCTTTACGATGTGTTCGAGTGCTTTGTGTGTTTTTATCTCGTGTTTGCCCACTGGGGGAAATAAAGTGATTCATTCAAGTCCTGTCTGGAACAAAAACTACAACCATGATGTCTCCCACTGTGTCCACACTGTCTCCACACTGTGTCCCATGATGTCTCCCACTGTGTCACACTGTCCGATGATGTCTCCACACTGTCCCATGATGTCTCCCACTGTGTCCACACTGTGTCCACAGTGTGTCACACCGACCATAAAGCACAAGCAGCAGCTGCAGTTAGTGTCTGAATGAAGACAATGTTTACTACAACCGTCACTGCCCTGATGTTTGAGTGTGTTTAACTGTATATTTAATACAGAGAATCAACTCTCTATTCATATTTTAGATCGGCAAGTGTAAAGTTAAATGAATGAAACTACTGTTGAATGCAATGAACTGTGCTCCAGCTGTTATACATTAAATCAAACAGAAGTCTTAAAATGTATAAAAGAAAAGCTTTAAAGTCTTCATGTGTTTGTTTTACTTTGCTTTGTAACAAGCTCATATTGTTACAATAACAAAAGACAATAAAAACAAACTTGATCTGAACTTACAGTATATAAAGTGTATATAAAAATGTAAAAGCATCTTTATTGAACCAACTCACCGGCTGTATGAGCTCTGCTCCTCCAGCAAACACGGCTCCGTTCTGCTTTGCAGCTTCGGCTTGATCAGCATCCTGCAGAGAGAAACACTTAGAATCTGATGCGGGTGTGTCAACGTGTGGCGGACCCCGCCGGTGTCGTTCATTACGCTCGTTAACATCTAAGTTACAACCCTCAACCTGCGCTGCCAGACAGGAATATCAATCACATGCTGCCGGTAGGTTTCTGTGATCAAAACAGCCGAGAGGCAAATAAAACAACAGCGCTGCTGCACATCCGAGTCATGTTGGGCAATATTAAAGCAATTCATCAACAGCAGGCAATCAGTCGGCTGTGAAATTAAGATTCAGAGAGAAAAAATAAAAGCTTTTACCTCGGTGAAAACTAGAACTTTGTTCCTCTCCGTGTTGAAGGGGTGCGGCAGGTGCACCGTGCTCACGAAGGAGTCGACCTTTTTCTGTAGGAGAGAAATAAATAAATAAAATGAATTATTACAGTTTGAAAAAGTTTAAACGAAGGGATGTCAATCATAGAGCAATCTCAGATAATCAAGTCTTAAAACTATTCTGCCACCGCTTTCATTTTTCATTTCTCCGGAGTGTTCTTAATTCATTATGCAGAGGAACCGTGGCACGTACAAATTCTTAGATCTCAGACTCCCTTTAACTGTGCTCTTAACAGATATAAGTTATATTTTGGATTTGCCTCGTTATAACTACAGCCTGACAGGTGTTTCTATTATTTTGTCCACCCCCTTTATAACAATGAGCGTGTGTTAAACAACAGAAACACTGTTTAATGCAACAGCAGCACAGACTACATCCTCTGAGTAACCACTGGGCTGATTTAGGAGGATCTATTGCAGGACTGTTGTGTTGGACTGCATCAGTTTTAACGAGGTGTACCTAATAAACTGGCACATGAGTTTATGTCAGCCGTCTCAATGAATCAGTCCTACTCCGGATGTTATCTGCAGACAGAAAAAATGTTGACAAACTGCATCAAACTGAGAAGAAGATCAGATCCTCAACTGAAGAATTGATGTGATAATAAAAGAGCTCTGCATTCTGCAAACACCTTTTAAGAGACCAAACTGTTCTGAGTAATACCAGGAGATGGACTACAGGGTCTCCACTTTGGTACAATCACATCCATGCGACATTAAATCTTGGAGGCGGAGGGATTAAAGGCTTCATCAGAGCTGCTGGTTGGACGGTTAAATAGCTTCACACACCTCCAAAGACAAACTCGGGGAACTTCACGATAATTGTGCAGAACGAAATAAGCATTGATAAGAAAAGGACACGTTGTGACCGCTAAGACCCAATCAAGTAGCAGACGTGGGCGTCCATGTCATCGTCTGAAAGGTCCCTGTTTTTTGCCCGTCCACACAACAACAGGGACCAGAGTTTTTAAACGTACACGCTAGGCGTGAATGTAGTGAAATATATGCATTTTAAAACGTAGTAGTGTGGATGTAGCAGTATTGGTGCCGAGCATGTAACTGCAGCGTAGCCTGTTGGAGTCTGGACATTTGTTGCATGTCATCCCTAACTCCTTCTCCTACCCGATGAAGCCAAACAGACTTCCATTCACTTTGCATCTGCAGAGAACACAGCTGCAGGGTTGCTGCCGTTACCTTTTTCTCCAGTTTCATGTCCAGCTTCAGATCGATGTAAACGGGCTGCTTGTGGGGAGTGAAGTCCAACTTCTGGAAGTTCTTCAGCATGTCGATGGCGTCTGCTGCGCCGTAGACGGTCCGGGGGTAGTACCTCAAAACGTACACGTCGTCCACGGGCGTCCACGCCGTCCTGCCGTACGGCTTATGTCGGTCTTTGTCGTCGATGACCCTCTTTTCCTTCTTCACCTCCTTCTCTGTGTTCTCTTTCTTGTCTTTCCTCAGTGTCCTGACCAATGAGGGAGATGTTAAACTGACTCTAGCTGCTCTTTATATTACAGATCACATGGCAACATCTTTTATCTGCTGAGAGAACGACAATAGTTCCTCTCTGGATGAAGATCTTATGAAAGCTTGTTCTAATGAGCGACAGGTCTGTGAACTCACTTGACAGCTGCTAACGTCCTGATGGGCAGATTCCTCGGTGCCGCCTGTGAAGCGCCCGAGTAGGCGGGACCGCCGGCTCTCAGCAGCTGCCTCTGACATCCTGCTACAACTGGAAAAAAAGAGAGAAAAAGCTGCTCAGAAATGAAAACAAACAGACGTGAGGAGCAGATGACGACCTCCATTTAACACGCACTGATGCTGTGCTCTCTGTCTGTGGGACGCACGACATGAAACTGCATTTGTGCTGTTTTCTGTGACAAGAGAAGTGTCTGTTTAATTCCATCAGAGGATGTCTTCCACGCTGATGGCAAGCATTACAAAGGAGCTGTAAGCCTCATAAAATAACATGGTGTTGGGTCAAATCATGAAGAGAAATGTGTATAAATATTGTTAAAAAAACAGCTAAATGAAATAAAATCTTGTATAATTTGGCACAAGTTTATCTCTAAAGTAATGTTCATGCATGAGAGCGTAGCTCCGTCAGACTGAAGCAGACTGTATACAAATATTTGTGCTGTTTGCATGAAATTGGAATAAAAAAACGCATCAATATCATTTCATCAAGATTGACAGCGAGCTCACTGATTTGTAAACTTAAAACACTTGTTCACTGACGCTAGTTATCACGCCAACAGTGCTGCTTTTAAGTTTAACATTAAAGAAGCCTTCCTCAAGAGTAAAGTTCAATAAGATGATACAGTTTATTATTCCTGCTCTTTGTGTTTCTACTCATCTGTTCAGAAGTAAAGGTCTTCTTGACAAAGAGCACGTTATAAACTCTGTTTTCTGTTATTCAACGTTTACTGCGTTCAGAAATCTGATCACTTCATTATAAGCAAATACACGTGTTCAAAATAACATTTTTTAAAGCCCCGATTTAACCGTTTATGTTAACTCTTTAATTCGGCATAACTTTGATACACTAAGCAATACTTTAATGCAACTAAATGTCGGCTTTTGTTTGTTTACTCGTTGGCAATCGACGTGTTTTGGTTCAAGGACGCTGTGACAAAACGATTCATTTCATTTATTTAAAAGCTGCCTTATTAATAACATTAATGCCGAATTGATGGAATAATCGTAATAATTACGATATAACCTTGAGTAATGTTGCCCCATGTGTGGAACTCATGCAAGGTGACAATACAAATGATACACATTAGCAGGTTTAATGGTTGTTTGGCCTTTTAACCGAAACAATAATTAAATATAAAAGACTTTAAAGAACTCTCAACTACTCATATTATTATATGCATAACCTGAAAATTCACTGTCACTTAAACTTAACTGAATTTCACAAAAACAACTGACCTTTCCACACGGTCCGCGTGCAGGTTGCCATGTCTGGGAATGACGCTGGTCCGTGTGGAAACAGAGACACATCAGTTCCACCTGGGAGGTAAAGACGATATCTCGTCATTTTATAAGTTACCTTGACTTTTGGTAAATACTTAAAATCTACATCATATACTGAGTAAATATAGAGAATTGTTAGGTTCCACTTTCATATTCGGCATGTGTTATATATAGCAATATTTACGTATTTTAGTAAATGTTTGAGTTACAGGAGCATTTAGTCATTTTGAGAATATAAAATATGATTGAACAAGAACATTTCCTTAATTTTTTATATTTAATAGAGGCCTAATTATGCAGAGGCTTCTACATGAATTGATAATCTGCGACTAATGCATCTTTATCTAATAATAAACTGATATTTCTATTTAGTTTGCTAATACTTTTTAACAGAAAACAAATGCGATATTCACAATAAGATTCCTTAAGATTAGGTGACAGCACATTACGTATTTTTTAACATCATTTAATTTTATACTTCATAATGAGTTTACACACAATTTTTCACAACTTGACTCGATGTCATGAACGAGGGGAAAGAATCCGGGTGTGCACGCGGCGTGCAGGACGAGTACGAGCGGAAGTCGCGTTTGTTGTTCTTCCTTCTGCTTCCGAGACGTTCAGGGTCTAAACGGGTTCAACAGCCGTGTCTGCATGTCTCCACCAATTCCCTCTATAAATCGTCTTCTTCCGCTCCCGAATGAAGGTAATGGGCATTTCTGACTTTGTTTCTAATGCTGTGGGGACATTTTGTCCCGGCTTGTCCCGGGTTAGATTTCACAGTTTAAATCCCGTCTTTACCGTTACCCCCTCCGCAGTCCGCCTCGGTGAGTTCCGGGCGGCACGCGCCCCTTGCCTGCCGCTGGCCAAACAAATCCAGCCCCGTGCTGTAACTGCTCACCGGGGCGGTTGAACCCGTTGGAACTCGGTTTAAAACGACATTTTAACGGTTTTAACGGACGTAACCGGAAGGGTTGCCAGGTGTGACAGCTGGTGAGAGGGGGCACGAACTTCTCCTGAACGCCCCCCCCCCCACCCACCCGTCACGTGCTTGTCAGGTGTCACTTTTGACATGACAGCTATGTTTGGATACTCAGCTGTCGCTGCAGTTGCCATCGCTGCATGTTTTACATTTACAAAAGAAAACTCCCGCCTTGTTAAAAGTGGTTCCCTAGGCAACAGATCGGTTACCACAGTCTCGTGAGCCCCAAAAACATGTTGAGAAAATAAAATAATCCTTTAAAAAAAACAATGTATCAAAACAAGTATTAATAGTGATACTTAATAGTAATAAAGCAGTAATAAGTAATAATAATAATAATATTATTTAATAATAACGTTTAGTAATAATAATAATACAACAGTAATAATAATAATAAAACAATAAAGAATATTACATATAAAAAAAGAAAAAAATCCACAATATCTAAAATATTATATGTGCAGACAGAATACTTGTAGTACTGCACAGTGTATTAATATTGCACATATCTTTAGTGTTGTGTGGTGTACTGGGAGCAGAGCTGGTTGTGCTCATCATCATCATCATCTTCATCTCTTTATGGCAGTGATATGAACCGTTGCCAGCAGGTCGTGTTGATATCTCTTGTGACCCAGAAGTGTGGAAACAAGTTATGCAAGTCTTCTCCAAACGTGTTCAGAACGTTTCGATCATAAAGAACATTGAGTTCTGAACACCTTGTCACTCACAGTATCCTGTGACCTTTAAAACCTTTTTATTTACTGAATTAACCAAACTCTGAGGGGCACCGTGTCTCATAAACATTACACAAATATAACTAGTTTTAGTTGCATATTCTCCATTGAATCCTTTCATTTATCTGCTTTGTGAAAACACACACTTCTGGTGACTTTAGTGTGTGTTATTAACAGCAATGCATGTTTTATTATAATGCCCTAAACATGCTGAGAGGTGGCATTAAATCATGCAAATCAGCACAATTTGAATACGAATGTTTCTCCTTTATTGATACAAATGAAGAATTTGTGCCGGAGATGCTTTAACACAAACAGCAATTTAAAAGGAAATATAAAATAAATCTTTCTTGCCTGAATAAGCTTAGAGGTGAGATCACAAAGAACAGGATTAATACAACATGTGTGACTCTTCTTTGAGGCTGTGGGAGGTAAACTGCTGCTGGAGGGAAGTCTGGAATTTGCATAATTTTCTTTTTAATTAGCTGTGACTTGTAGATTAAAGTTTGTCTCACAGAAGTCACTCGTCCACCTGGAGTCAGCAAAGTGAATTCCTTAAATACTGATCATACTGATAATCATTAACGATGACATCAGTCTCTTTATTTAGGACAGTTTTTGTCCTCCAGGTGCTTCCTCTGGCACAGATCTGGTCGAGGGTTTTGAGTCGTGTGCCGGTAAACGCTGACTCAACCAGACACTTTAAAATATATGTAAAATATATATAATATGTTAGAACTGTGTCACTGTGTTCATAACCAAATGTATAATTAATAATAAACCAGAAAATATTTTTTTATTTTTGTCAAAATGCAAAAGTTTCTTATTTTTTCTTCTTAAGTATAAAAACATTATTTTATTTTATATGGCATTGTTTCACATTATTTATGTCACATGTCTTTATAATAGTATTATTTTTCCTTTATTTAAAGGTGCCCTGTGGTGTGACTTTTATTCATTAAATTAGTATTCATATTCTTTGTCCTGCTCTTTGTAGTGCAGGAAGAACAGCTGTTCAGCTGAATAGTGTTTCAACATCTGTGTTTCTTGGGTTCTTGATGTAGACTCTAACATCTGTGTTTCTTGGGTTCTTGATGTAGACTCTAACATCTGTGTTTCTTGGGTTCTTGATGTAGACTCTAACATCTGTGTTTCTTGCTTTGTTCCTCAGATTAACAGGTATGCCAAAGGAAAAATATGATCCTCCAGATCCCCGCAGATGTTACACCATCATGCCAGCGGAGGAGGTGGCCAGTGGGAAGAAGTCTTACTGGGCCGAGCTCGAGATTTCTGGTCAGTCTAACGATCAAACTATTAAGAAAAAGGAGGTTTATTACTGGTCTCCTACACGTTTGAAGATAAATCAGTTAAGAATGTTTTTAATCGGTGAGATGAAGTGTTTTTCTCTGTTCTTGTTTTTTACTTTGTGTCCTTTATGTACGTTGTTCCACTGTTTGTATGTGAGTGCAAACTGAAGCTGAGCCATTGTTTCTAATTTCTAGTGTTGCAGATTAATCGACAGAAAATTATTTTAAACTATTTATTATTTCAGTAATAGTTTTTTTTTTTTAATACCTTGGTTTTTGGGGCATTTTAAAAAATATTTCCCCACATATTACGGAAAAAAACGATTAATTGACTGTTAAATAAAATGAATAATGGAAACAGTCCTATATTGCAGCATTGCTGTTGGTTAACGGGTTCCTAACTGAGATAATGAAGCTCTGTGAACCACATGAAGCTCTTCAGACTTCGACTGACCACAGAACCACAGGCGTCTCCTGTTAGATGTTCTCAGCTGAGTGAACGTGAAACAGAGAAACAACAAACGTTCCCCGTCTCTGTTGATGTTGTTCGACCTCTTAGTCAGGAGGTTTGTGACCGGAGCTTCAAAAGAACACTCTCCAGATTCATTTCTTTGCTTTTCATCTGGTTTGATCCAGTTTGTTTCTTATCAGAGTGCATCAGTGTGTTGTTGTTTTGTGTCCCATGATGAGTCTGTTTCATGTGGTTTTCCACCCTCAAAACAAGGTTCTTCTTTTGGTGTGGAAAAGGTCATAAGCAGGATATTTCCTCAGAATACAAACCAACATTATCAGTTTTCAACAGCAGTGTGTTTTCTTCCCTGGTTCGGATGCAACATCTTGTTTCTCCTCTCCACATCTGGAGTTTGATGCCCTTCTGTTTGTCTGGATGCAGGACGGGTGAGGAGCTTGAGCAGCTCCTTGTGGACGCTCACCCACCTGACGGCGCTGCACATCAACGACAACAACCTGAGCCGCATCCCGCCGGACATCGCCAAGCTGCCCCACCTGGTCTACCTGAACCTGTCGTCCAATAAGCTCCGCAGCCTGCCCGCCGAGCTCGGCAACATGGTCTCTCTCAGGTAGGCCGGTCCTGTATCCAGAGACGCTTTCAGAGACATTAATACGCAGACGACATAGAACCTGGACATTAAAATAAGCTTTTGACTGACTGAGAACCTGTAAAACAAGTCTGAATGATGTGTGATGTTATCGATCATTCACAGTCGCTCCAGTCGAACAGAACCTGACTTGTGATCAGTTCGGTTACGAGCTAGATGAGATTCTAATAAGACCGCAGCCTCACATATACAAGGATACGGTCATAATTAGAATTAGGATAGTCCCTCCATTGCAGCTCATTATGGAAACATGAGAATGAGAATACTCTACTCCAAAAATAAGAAACTTTGAAGTCCATCGTTTAGATGTGAAGAACTCAAACTGCTCGTCTGTCCTCGTGTTCGCTTCAGATGAACAAAGACTTTAGATTTTGTGATCAAAAACACGCTGATCAAAACAAAGAGGAAGATGATGAAATGTGTGAGTGGGAGGAAGAACTCATCTCAACACACAAACAAAGATGAGAAGCAAAGACACGTTGTGACTAGAAGACTTGATGTCAACAGAGGACAACGTGGTGGATGTTCTAACACCAGTGACACAAAGTACTGATCATTCTGTCCCGTTGTTCTTACAGGGAATTGCTTTTAAACAACAATCTTTTACGAGTTCTGCCTTATGAACTTGGGAGGCTGTTCCAGTTACAAACGTTGGGGCTAAAAGGTGAGTTTGTTTTTATTATTGCTATTAGTTTAAACTCAATTAGATGTATTTTAAATGAACTTCAGACAAGTGAATTCTGGTTCCAAGTCATTATTTCTTTACGTACATCAGTGAAACCTGAACACTTCTTGTCAGATGTTTGTTTTTATGTGTTTAATATGTATTATATGTGTTGCAGGAAACCCTTTGTCCCAGGACATCCTCAATCTGTACCAGGAGCCGGACGGAACCAGAAAGCTTTTGAACTACATGCTCGACAATCTAGCAGGTGAGCGGCTCGTCCCGCTTATCAGAACTCCTGAATATTGAACCGTCTGTCTGTCTGTCGTGAGGCTGAGCAGCACAGGTACCTGGGAGCAGCTGTGACCTTGTGTTTGTGTGTTTGCAGTGCACCCAGAGCAGCTCCCCCAAAGACCGTGGATCACTCTGAAGGAGCGAGACCAAACGAGTCCCACAGGTACGTTCACCAGGGTTAAGTTACTGCTCCCTGTTGGACCTTTACAGAAAGATTCACTTCTTTTATCAGCTTAAGTCAGCAGTCATGGACTTTGACGTAATGTTGATGTTGATGCACACTGATGAACAAGAAGGTAGCCGTCCCCTGAGCTCCAACAGAAGGTAACTCGTTAAAGAATACAGATATAAAGAAAACCCTCATTTACTTTACTACTTGTTGCGTACTGAATCATTCACGCCTCTAAAAATACCTTGAAATAAAAGAATCTGAAAAAATGATTTGGTTGAACTGCAATAACAAGTAGTACTCTGCCAAATAGCTGAGTCGGGTTTGATCAGCAGGTTAGTTTAGTTCACTGACACAACAACTAAAAGATCAGCGACGCAGGAGGGTGTAGCTTCTATTCGCTGCCAAGTAGGATGGAACTCACTCACAACCTCTTATTTAACTTATAAACTTCATAACTCGTATATTTCTGACATACTCATTAAAACATCATCTGGTGTTTCATCTACAAACACTCATGAGTTATTTCATGTGTTCACTCGTCATTCAGAGCTGGATAAGTCCTGAGCATTATATAATTATGATCAAAACATGGAATCAAAGTTGATATGAACAATGTAGCGATTGCTGAGGGTATAAATGCATTTATAGTAACAATTTAGATGATTATTAACGCTTTGAGAGTCCTTGAAAGGGCTTAAATTTGACTCTTAAAATGCGGTACCAACCCTTAATAAACAACACAAGCTGTCTAAATAAAGATGTTTGCAAGTCCAAGAAATAAAAATAACCCTTGTGTGTTGTAGTCCTACATCGCTTTACTTTAAACGGAGCCAAAAACTTGCCGATATGACAAAGAAAAGACACAGCGTAGCTTCTTTCTGTTGTATCACGCTGTAGTACAAAGATTTAAAATGATCAGGTGACGAGAAGGAGAGACGTGTTGAATGAGACCTCGCGTATCTCAACAGTCATCATTGTGTGTGTTTCTCTGCAGCTGTGTTCACGGTCATGTGCTACAACGTGCTGTGCGACAAGTACGCCACGCGGCAGCTGTACGGCTACTGTCCGTCCTGGGCCCTCAACTGGGAGTACCGGAAGAAAGGCATCATGGAGGAAATCACCAGCTGTGATGCCGACATCATCAGCCTGCAGGTAAACCAGCTGGAGGCTGGCTCCGCCTCCATGTTTACCTTGTTTGGTTGTTTGGTCTGTCCACAAAGCAAAACTGCGTCTCAACAGACTCTGTTAAGTGCTGCTGTTATTGTTTCTTATTCTTATTCTTATTCTTTCTTTCTTTTGTTTCTGACGGTAAGCAGCATCTTCAGAACATCACACAGAGGATGTAATGTTCGTGTCACTTGTGCTGTAATCCAATTTCAGGCCTCCAAGTGTTCCAGCTTCCCAAAAACATACAAATGTTTGCTCATCAGAGCAGTCAGGGCCCCGTTAGAGTACCACGGGCCCCGGGGCTACGACTTTTTCAAGGCTTTTTGAAGCCTGCTGTGACGGCCTGGTGGCGCTTCTACGATGAATTTCATTTAAACTCCCCTCCCCCCGAGCCTTGTGGGCCCTTATTCATCGTGCAGTAACTAAATATGATTTCAATTAAGCAATTAATCTATCAAATATGAATTTTAGTGCATTGTTTGGTATGCAACATGTCACAAAAGAACGGTTTTAATCTGCAGTAATGTCTGCTTTCCACAAGGTGTCACTACTGACATGAGCTAAAAATAAAAGTACTTCTCTGATGTAATAAATATAAATGAAGACATAGTGGAGCAGTAACAGGTTTGTTTCTGAGGGCTCCAGATTATTACGTTTGCACTCACAGTGATGTGTGGCCTCTTTCACATACGTTTCATTGACTGTTATAGGCGACATTTGTTTCCCCGTGTGTCTGCAGGAGGTGGAGACGGAGCAGTACTACACCATGTTCCTGGAAACCCTGAAGGAGCGCGGCTACGACGGATACTTCTGCCCAAAGTCTCGTGCCAAACTGGTTTCTGAGCAGGAGAGGAAGCACGTGGACGGCTGCGCCGTGTTCTTCAAGACCGACAAGTCAGTTTTATTTCTGACGCTTTACAGAACAGGATTTATTGTCGAATATATTTATTAAATATTTTTGAAGTTATTGTACCGTTTGGATCAGAACGTCTTTGAATTAATTTCAAATAGTGACAAACAGACAAAGATCCTCTGAATAAGTTGAACAAGAAGAGAAGAAACCAGCAGTCAGAAGTTAAAGAAACTGGAAGCTTAGATTTAATCTATTTGGAACTAACTTTAGCAAAGCTCTTCTTCAGACTTCACAGTAGAAACAGAAGGTTAGTTTAGAGTCAGCACTGCTGGAGTATCCGCTCAATAACTCACAGAGACTAACTCAATAGTTACAGTTTAATTCTTTCAAATGTAAATAACACATTTGGTGTTTGGTTCTGATTGAAGGAAAGAAGAGAAACATCGACATAGCAGCTGATTCTGAACTTTTAAAGGGTAGTGTGTGTGTGTGTGTGTGTGTGTGTGTGTGTGTGTGTGTGTGTGTGTGTAGTGGACATTGATGCGTCTTCGTGCTCCCGCAGGTTTACTTTGGTGCAGAAACACACGGTGGAGTTCAACCAGGTGGCCTTGGCCAACTCTGAGGGGTCGGAGGTCATGCTGAACAGAGTGATGACCAAAGACAACATCGGGGTGGCCGTTCTGCTCGAGGTCAACAAGGACGTGTTCTCCGACGGTAAGAAGCGTCTTCAGAGCGTCACACAGGGGCAGTGACTGAATACGATTCTAATCAAGCAATTTAGTCGAGTATTGATTTTAATTAGTTGTTTGGGATGTAGTATTTCAGACATGAATGAAAAGGGCTGAAGGTGACGTCTTCATTGCTTATTATTTTTCAATACTATACCAGGAGTCAACCTCCGGTTCTGAAGATTGAAACCGATCCTTCATGTGTTAAAGCTGCATTCTCTCTAGTGTCCACCAGGGGGCGA